CGCACGCCTCAGCCTGGTCCAGGCCCCGCCCACTCCTGTCCCACCCCCAAATCACTGCCGGCTCGCCCGGCGGCTTGGCCCATGCCCCGCCCCAGCCTCGCCTTAAACCAACTCCTCGCCTTCTCCCCGGGCCCAGGCCCCACCCCGGCCCCGCCCCAAGTTCCTCAGCCTGATGTAGGGCCCGGCCCCGCCCCGAACACGGCCCGTCCCGCCCCTTTGCCCCGCCCTGGCGCCCCGAGCCCGGTCCAGGCCCGGCCCCGGCCCTGCCCCGAGCTCCAGCAACGCCCCTCTTGCCCGAGCCCGGCCGCCGTCCACGGTCCCGCCCCTCCTGCTCCTTGCCCCTCCGCACAGAACCAGGCCCTGTTCCCCCGCCGCTCCACTACGGAGCTCCCGCGAGGCCCTGTCCTCACCCCAAGGCGCTGCTCCCTAGAGCGTCGCCCCTCGAGGCCCGGCTCCTCCTCACTTCTGTACTTCCCGGCCCTTTCTATTGTAGCACCGCCCCCTCTTGGACCCGCCTTCCCCACGCCCCGCCCACGTGCGTGGTCCCTTTGGAGACCCACTCACCCCCCCCCCCCCGGGCCTGCACAATTCAGCTCCCACAGAGCCCCAACACAAGCCGGTTCCGGCTGCGAGCTACCCCGCCCACACGCTGTGGCCCCGCCCACACACCCTCTCGCCCTCAACCAGCGCCCTGCCCTGCCCGCCGGCTCCGCGTCGCTGTGGGGCGTCTTGCTCCTAGCTCTGGGCAAAACAGTTGTACTACAGTCAAGTCGGCTCTGGCTCAGGGATCTCGCCATCCATCAAAGGGAGACACTGCTGTCTCCTGGTGGCCATTTGTGGCGCCTGACGCAGTGAGGCTGAGGGGCTGGAGCTTGCTTGGCGGCAGGCTACCAGTTGTGGGTTCAAATCTTGACGCGTCATTTTCCAGCTGTGACAACCACAACCCGCCACCACCCTCACTTCCTCCCCAATCAGATGCATTTCTTCTCAGAGCCTCGAACACTACACTGGCGGAGGGCAGCGACCCCATTTGGGTAAAATTGGGGGCCAGTGTGCCACTAAATCACGAGGAAGAGGTGAGCTAGGGCTACCTCCGCAAGCAGGGCTTTGTCATAGCTGGGGAGAGATGGTCATATTGGCCTGCAGTTAGGATGTTGGAGCAGAGTTCGAGGAGTGTGCTCGTGGGATCCTGTGCTTGGAGGACCAACCACTGCTTTGAAAGGCATTGGCTGGGAAACGGAGGCAGGCAGAGCCGGAGGATCTTAGTATCAACTTGGATCATGTCACTATCCTGGCACAATCTCCTTCAATGACTTCCAGGTGCTCTCTTGGTAAGGCCTGGACTCCTCTGCTGCTGCACATTCAAGCAGAGAAGGCAGTCTGGAGAGTGAAGGGGCTGTCAGAGAGACTTGGGGGGGCCCACTGAGAGAAAGACGCAGAGGCCTTTCCATTTTTCCTTCCATGCCCTCTGGAGACTTTCTTGGCCCTCCCGTCAGGTTTCCATGAGACAACCCTTGCAAGACAGTCCTTTTTCTCCAAGCAAGCTAGAGTGAGTTTCTGGGTTTTGGCTTAACATCATGAAATCCACTCAGCCCATCTTCTTAGACTTAGATCCCATCACTCCTGCAAATCCTCTCCTCTGTGACACTGCGTTGCCAGCTTTTCCCCAGCTTCATCCTGCTCTTCTCATTTCTGTCTCCCTGACTGCTCCATGCTCCACGTATTCTACAGTCTCTGAATTGAACTTCCAAATCCCCATTGCTTTCTAAAGTGCCCCCAGCACTCTCTGTCCCTTCCTGAGGACAATGCTCCTGTTTATGTTCCAGTTACCTCCTAGCTGAGGTCTGGGCACCCCATGACTCCTTCATGTCTGAATCTGACACAGCAACTGTTTGCTAAGTGAATGTGTGTGATTTTAATAAACTGAGCGATGTTCATTGGAAAACACATTTAATTTCAAAATAAACAAAGATGTTTATACATTAAAGTATTTAATTAGTGAAACAATTATAATCAATGTAACAAGCTGAAAAATACAGCGACTTGATACAAGACTGAGGTAACAAAATACTTCACCAAAAATCTAAAGAATCCCAGGGAGGGCTGATGTTCAGTGGTTATTGCGGGTGAGACAATTCACAAGAATTAGAGAAAGTCCTTACACAACTGCATGCAGGGGTCTGCTGGAAAAAAAGACAGCCCAGGAAACTGCAACAGATTTAACAAAAAATGAATTAAAATGTAGAAACTGATTTTCAACTTACTTTGAAGAATACATAAGAAATTGAAAACTACTCTCTACACAACATTTTGAATGCTAAGTGGAAAACCATGCATTTTGGCACGAAATTTATTAAAGATTATACCATACTAATAAATTAATTACTGTTATTTCATTACTGACTGGCTAGAGTCATTCAGAAATGGATAGAGATTAATGGCTATAAATGGACGCATGACCTATTGAGTTGCTGCTATAAGCAGGGTTTGGAGGCTGCCCATAGGAACACACGCTTGTGCAGCAAGGGCTGCGAGGTGGTCTCAAGTCCATGGTACAAGTTCTCCACACTCAAGAATGCAGCCACTCATCCTGTACTCGTATTTAATATTGAAATAAAAAACAAAAGCCTATGGAGTCAATACTGTGCCAGTCTGAGCCTGCTTTCCACTCTGAGCCCGCTTTCCACTCTACCTCTGGAGTCCTCAGTGCGCCCAACCCGCCTCTAGGACAGCAACTCCATCTAGTTGTCTTTGCAACTGAACTTGCAGATCAAGAGGCTACTCCATCTGCCGAGCCTTTTGAAGTCTTTCTGGAGGAATCCATGTGCAGGGTTTCTACTCAGGGTTAGGAGAGAGGCAGAGTCTTGCCCAAGGAGATATATGTGGTAGGGCTTTTATGTTCGTTGAGTGGTCAGCTCCACGAGGGCAGGGACTGGATCTGTCTTGTTCTCAGTCATTTATATCCCAGCTAGAGCCTGGCACCTAGGAAGTAGTCACTAATGACGTGAATAAATAAGTGAATGAAGGTGTGGTTTTGTGCAGAAAATCTGTTATACCAAAAGGATTCTTTTAGATCTTTTTCTTTTTAAAACATGAAATCACTTGACATGCCAATATGATGTAGAGCTGATTTAAATCATTTATGGGGTCACAAACAAGAGGGCTGTGTTTTTGGCAATGTTCTCCTGGTAGTCACAAGCATCGGCAATGTGGGGGCAGAGCCTGGACCCTACCTGAGGAATGAAGCAGATGTTGCTTGAAAATGGCTTCCTGTTTTCATGGAGCATTTCCATCTGTAATATGGCCTCCTAAAAGATACACCTCTTGGGCCTGCGAGGTGGGAATAAGATGATGAAAGAAATACTGGCCATCTTGGTAAGAAGAAGAATGCTTTACAAATTCATCTAGCAATAGAGACTGGGATCCTTCCTAAACAGAATCCCTTCAAGTGTCTATTTCCTCAGCTTCTATAGTCTGACAGGGAGGGAAGGGGCATACACTTCGACGGGCACACTCAGAACAGTATTTCTACTGCTCTCCACCAAATCACCAGTCCATAAAGTTTTTCAGTTGCCAGAATGCACTTGACTGACCTTGAGTGGCAGAATGTGTTCAACTGAGAGGGACAAAAACTATCCCCAGGGAGAGGTGAATGAGTTGTTCTTGGGACATCATATTGTTATGTTATTGACTCCATAGTGTGTAGACAGCTTTCTCCAACTTTCGTTTTGCGGTGCCATGATCTGTTTGCTTTTAAAACATTTATGGCATATGCATGCAAGACATAACACCTTCAATGGTTTCACAAACATCTGTGCACTATGGGCAACTGAGGAGCAAAATGCAGAAATGCTTCCCTCCAGGGTGAGAATTCACCCATAGGCTTTCCCCCTTTATGGTCTGTGCTTGGCCCCCTTGTTCCCAGGCTCCCAGGCCTCTTAGCTTGCAGCTCAAGGGGCAAACCAACACTGGGAAGACAATCAGTGCTGAACTCACATGCTTGGCCCTGAGCCCCGCTGAGAGCTGAGTATCCTTCAGCTTCATCTCCAGGACTCTTCTGGTGTGTTCAAGGCTCTTACCAGTTCTATAAGACTGGTGCCAACAAAGCCTAAAGAGATTCTTCAAGAGTCCAAGTTAATAATGTTCCTGGGAGGGGACGTGGGATCAGACTCAATCAGAGAGAAGACTAAACACTTTGAAAAGAAGTGTGCTTGTGCTATTTCAAATTAGGCTCAGAAGAAAACATTTGTGAAAGATAAGAACAATGTATAAAGGGCAGAAAATCATCTGATTTCGTGGTGCTTGAAATTCTGGGGTCTTAGGTTGGCATCTATAATATTTCATGTGTGACAAAACAGGACAGTTTGAAGGGTGGAGAAACCCAAGGAAAATAAGTAGCTGATGTTCCAGTCTTGCACTTTCATCCAACTTAAGACTTTTTAAAAGTTAACAGGTAGATTCAGATTTAATGTAGGTTAAAGCGTTAACACTGCACGGTTCTAGACAGAGGTGTCTGGAGTTTTCGGCATTGTCATTCAGCCTTTAGATACTGATCTGAATAGTCGTTGGTAGAATTAGGTACATACATCCGAGTGAGTGTGCCAAACACCTATCATCAAGAATTTGACAGCATCAACTTTATCATCTGGAGTTTCTCTTGGCATGAAAGTATTCTAGTCTTTGCTCAAAAGGAGGACAGTAAGACTCAACCACAAAGTGAGACCCTGATGACAACTACTTTCTTCACCAATGTATTCAAACTTTTAGAGAAGTTGTCGCTATTTGAATAAAAAACAGTTGTGGGTCCTTTGGTTGTTTTTAAATTGACCCATTAGAGTTTACTTATTACCGTTTTGAACCATCAAGACCTGAAACTCTTCTGGATAGTTTGATGCCTGATTATTGTGAGCTCTGAACCACACAACAAGCACCCAGAAATTCAGTCTCTCTTAGAAAACTGTTAAGGGTTTCCTTCTTAGAATTAGGATGTCCAAATTAAAGGGTGGTGGGGAGAAGGGATGGTGATAAAGAGTAAGTCATTATTTTGAGTAAAAATGTATTCGTGCAAAATAAAAGTTGCTTTAAAATGTGACAAAAGGTGACAGATAAAGGATGTTGTTCATGTGACGAGGTCTTAACTGAATGCAGAGGTTGGACCAATCACTCCCCAGGGATCTGCTGTCTTGCCACATGGTTATCAACACTGTGCCCTTGGACTTGGATAATGTAGAACTGCTGGTGACCACATTTGGGGGCAACACTGGGGGAGCTTAAGGTCTCAGTGTCACTCAGCTCCCCATCATGATCAGGAATCTTGGTGGGTCCCACCCTGGCAGTGGAGGCAAAGTGATGGGAACAAAAGCGTTGCCCTGCAGGGAGGCTGATGCCAAGTGGCTTCTGAGCAGCCAATTACTGTGAACACAACGGCCTTCAAGATGCTTCTGAGGAAGCTGGGAAGAACGTCACAACATCCCATCTGGCGTGGGGGTAGGGGTTGAGAAGGGCCTAAGACCCTGCCAGGAGAGGGGATGGGAGGAAGCAGCAGGCTAGCAGCCTGGTCCATGGCCCTGAAGCTGGGTAGTGTCTCAGAAGGGCTGACAGCAACAAGGCCTGGGATTGACCTGGGAGCCCAGGAAGCAGACCTTCCAGATGAATAGCACCCATAGGAACAGAAAACAAGACACAATTTAAGGCATTGTTTGTTTACAGTAAAAGAATGCAAGAAACCCTTAACACAGGAGGAATCTGGGCTCTGACTCTGACCTTCCTCAGTGGCCAAGGCTATAACTTAAGGTTTAAGCAGGGCCTCAAAGCGAATGAAGTGTGTGATGTCACAAGTCTTGTGCCAAAATGCATGTTTCTCAGAGAGTTCACGCTCACTCACACGCAAACATGTACCGCACACACACGCAGAGGACGCTTGGGCGTTTTACAAAATCTGAGGCAGCCCTGTGGGCGAGCAACCCCGTGCACTTGGGGTGTGAAAAGCCTGTTCCACAGCCTGTTCCTTCTCTCAGGCCTCTCTCATAGGTTAATACTGTTCATTCTTTGTGCCGTAGAAAGCACTGAGAACCCAGCCTGGGTCAAATGCTCTCTAGTCGCAGAAGCAGCTGGTGGACGGATGAGGGGCCAGAGAGGGAGGGCGGAATGTGGAGCCTGGAGTTCAACCACCGCCCAAGAGGTGGTGCTGCAGGATGAGTGTCATGAGTCGCTGGGGACTGGCAGGTGGATCCCGAACTGGTTGAGCCCTCTGGGACCGTGAGGCCACAGACCGTGTCCCCTGAGTCCAGCTGTGAATCTCCCAGCACCCTGGCCCACAGCCTGAACCCAGGACTGCTCTTCTCCACCAGGCCCAGCCCAGGCTCCCAGAAGCCTCTGAAGTCACACCACGTCCTGCAGAGACTTACTCAAATGACATAAGGTTTGCAGGTACCTGGAAGAGAAAGCTCAACCTCTTGTCAAAATTCCAACCTGAGAGAGGGACAAGGGTGGTCTCTAGGGGAGTAGACAGATCTTTTCCCAGTAAGTCTATGAATGAGCAGGTCAGGAGGGGAGAGGGCACAGCAGTAGTAACAGCCACACTGTGTTAAGTGACAGCTGCGTGCCAGGCATCACTCTGAATACTTCACATGCATTGTGTCCTCAAGGTCTCACTTCAAACTCATTGGGCAGGTACTGGAACCTCTTCATTATAAAGATGAGGAAACTGAGGCTTAGAGAGGGTCAGTACACAGTGATTAGGTGGCAGGGCTAAGACCCTAGAGCCCATGCTCTCATCAAAGTAAACCTGTGCTTAGGTGGGGAGATAAATCCTGCAGGAATGGGCATATTCCTCTGGGGGATGCCGGCAGAACAGAGTGTGTCATTGGAAGATGGCAGGAATGGGCAATCATCATGGAGTCATCAGGAACCCCAAGACCTTCCCATAGCTGTGTCCCCAGGACAAGATCCTAGTTCCCTTTACTAAAGGGACCACCAGCCCACAAAGCCACCAACAGACCCTCAGCCCCAGACCTCCTCCCCCAGCACCACCCTGGGGGTTCCAGGAGACTTGACTACAAGTAATTTCATCAAAAATAAATCCACCTTGCTGTCAATTTGGTCAAAATGACAAATTAGGAAAAACACATCTCCATGCACCAGGAGACAATTACAAGAGTGGTCACAGCAGTATTGCTCACTGTAGCAAAACGCAGAAAATCATTCCTGGGATGACTGACAGAAGAACTAATAAAAACAAAATCAGTACATATAAATGAATGACTGTTACACATGGTAACACTAATGAGTCCTAGGAACATATTGTAGAGAAAAGTAAAACACAGAAGAAAACACTCAGGTATGGTTCTATTTACAAAAAAGTTACAAAAAATACACACAGACAATACATGAAGGGATCAAATACATGTTCTAAAATTGGTAAACAAACAGATCGGGAGAGTGGCTATGGGGCACGGGTGGGAGGAGGGAGGCAGATTCAGGAAGAGACTAGTGGGGAGGGAAGGTGTTCCAAGGCACTGTAGGGCTTGCTGCTAGGCTGGGGCAGGTACTGGGATATTTGTTTTATTGCTGTTGTTTATAGCTTATACACGTTATGAATAAGGTTTAAGTGGATTCAATGTTAGCAAAAATAATTTTAAGCTATGTAATTTCCACAGAATAGAAAACCAGTCTTAGTCACTGAGATTTTTCATGTGAATAGATGCACGTCTGTAACATCCTTTCTTACACCCTCCTTGCATTCCATCATATGGATATACTGTGATTGACTTAAATAATCCCCTGCCATTGAATATTTAGGTTGTTACCAACTTTTATTATTACATATAGCATACAGCAGGAATAATTGGTTGAAAGAAATAAATAAAAAGAAAAAGAAGAAAAGAAGAAAATATTCTCCCTCCTCTCTCTAATTCTGAAAATTGGACACAAATCCTTAAAAGCCACACATCCTTGCCATGGAACACCGCATTTACCAACACATGAAGTTTGATCCATTAGTCCTTCTGCCAAATCAACTGACCTAGTCCCTGCTACCTGTCATGGGGTTGCTGCCACCCTCAGACTGCTCCTATAGAGAGGGACAATGAGTCTTGCTCAGAACTACCATTGTTCCTCTAGGCTGGGGCCACTACAGTGCCAAGGTTATGGGCACAGGGCAGAGACCAAGGCCCTGCCTTCTTCCCCATCCCCACCTTCTAGGTGGCCCACCTTGGGGCTGCCATTTCCTGTTAAAACTGGAATTGTTCTGGCTTCTTGTTCATACGTCACAGGGCCACCTGTGTGGCAGGTGAGCTTCCATGTGCTGTGCACTTAGAGAGTGGCCCTCAGAGCTAACGAGGGACCCCAGAACAAACATAGTGTGACCAATGCAGAGGAGGCCAGGATGCTCATCCTCGCTTACTGTGACCCACGGCGGCAGCAGCCTCATTCAGGCCTCAGCATCCTGTTGCCTTCGGGTCATCTTAAGCTGACTGCTGGTCCAAACCCTGGTCTTCCCATCATGGAGACGGGCAACTACAATTATTCAATGTACAAAATACACATAGGCGCTCTAGAAACACAGAATTATGGTTTTTTTGTAAATCATGTTAGACATTTTGTATGCATCCATAAACATACATATAGTAAATATGCATATGTGTTCTAGCACAGACGAGGTCATTCTTCCCAAATGTTCTATCCTTTGTTTTACCACTTTTATCTTGGGGCTCCTTTCATGTGATCACCATGGGTCTGCCTCCATCTTTCAAATCACTACCAAATATTGAACATTAGGCATCCACTGAGGGTACAGAGGTTTCCAGGGTTTTGTCTTTTTTTATCAAGAACAGTGCTGCAGTGAACATTCTTAAACATACAGCTCTGAATATATGTGTGAGCACATCCCTAAGACAAATTCCTAGCAGTCAGATAGGTGAGTCAAAGGACTCAATTGTATTTTGTTTATTTGTTTGTTTGTTTGATGGGGTCTCACTATGTTGCTCAGGCTGGTCTTGAACGCTTGGGCTCAAGCCATTCTTCTGCCTTAAGCCTCCCAAACAGCTGGGACTACAGACACATTCCACTGTGCCCTGAAATTTATTTTGAACTTCCCTGTAGCACCTCAAGTTTATCCTTGTATTGGTCTGTTGTTTTAGTCTGTTGAGGATTTTCTGCTAAATCTGCTTTCTAGCTTATCATCTATAAATTTGATCAGCTTCTTATCCATGTCCTCACGTCCTATGTTATAGTCACTACCCACCTCCTTGAAGCTGCCACCATCTATGCCATGCTTTGGTGCTATCTCCCCAGTATGCTCCTCTGACCGGCCTCTGGGGAACATGCACATGGATGCTTAGGGACAGGAGCATCAATGCTACCCACCTGACCCCCAGGGAGCAGGAAGCTTCAGACTGCTCCCATCTGGTGCTGGCTGAGGAAGCCATTTCTTTCACTAGCTTGGACAACCACGGCCGTGCTCCAAGGCTCTTTGCTCAGCCACAGGAGCTTCAGGAAAGGAGAGACAGGAGAGCTCAGGGGTAATCAGGGACCAGACAGACCTACGTTACATTCCAGTCCCATTGCTTACTAACTATGGGACTTTAAACAAGTGTCTGCCCCTTTCTGAGCCTCAGGATCCTCAGTGTAAAATGGAGACAGAGAACATACCTTGCAGGGATATTGGCAGATACAGCCAGTTCCTGCATGTGAAGCATTCTGCACAACGACACCTGGCAAGGGAGGAGTGGGGTGGCTGGAGGAGGGAGCCATGCCATGAAAAAGTCAGCAGCCAGTGCAGGAGTCAACGTCAATAGAGATCCCGCAGGTTCAGACATACTGAGGAGCCGGAGATCCCCTTCCACCAGCAGCCTTGCCTGGCACATGGCTGGCTCTCAGTAAGTTCGCTATTAATATTATTCCTAAGTGCTGTGGGGCAGGGAGGCCCTTTAGTCAGTTTGGAGTATTCCCATGAAATCAACTCCCGTTGGACGCTGGAGTCTGATCCTGGGGTGATATCATGCCTGCCACCTAACTGCCCCAGGTAGACGTTTCTGTGGCACTTCTCTTAGTTGGAAAGATAAAAACAAAAATAAACAACAACAAAAAAAAACTCATTCAAAGTTCTGGTCTGGAGTTGGGCTTATTCTAAGCTGAGCAAGGAAGTGCCTTGTCTCAAGGGAAAATGCTGATCAGGAGAGGGTGCCTGGGAAGATAGCTAATGGGAAGAAGGGGGCCCTGTTTCCTAAGGATCCTTGGTTTCAAGGGTGGGAAAGGGCATTTCAGGTGAAAACCAGGATTTTGGTGACATTACCTGAGGCCTGTTGCTTTTACATGCATCATCCAAATGCTTGTGCCACAGTATTGCATGAAATCGGGAACCAGTCTGAAACTTGTAAACATTACCTGATAGGTAGAGAAAAAGAGGATCACTTGGGACGGTCACCCCATGATTGTGGCATGAAGAGAAACATGAACATGGCAACTAAACTAAGGAAGGACAGCCCCTTTGGCTTTCTGGTGAAGCCTGTGGACTCCTCCTCAGAATAGTGTTTTTAAGTGTATAAAATACAAAGGAAATCATTAACATTGAAATGCAACTAGTAAACTACTAAAAAAAAAATCACCAAATGAATGGTATAAGTTATAGGTCTCACACTGTACTGTCATTTCAAAAAGATGTGCATAAATGATATTTTGAGATATGCAACAATATATGATATGAAATACCTACAACTTTATCTCCAAGATAAATTTATTTTATTGCTAACATTTTTGTCATTGGATGCCTATACTCATAATTAAAAGAGTAAGAAGTCATGGAAAACAAAGATGTATTTTTTTTTTCCCATCCAAGTTCACAAACTCCTTGAATTCTATCCATGGATCCTGGCCACCCCTTGTGTCACATTTCCTAAAGAAACCACTGCTATTCCAGTGCAGACTGTTGAGGAAGAAATTCAAATGGTAACCAAACTGAGGACACACTGCCACATGTGTCTAACATCTGTGAGTTCAGTTGTTCAGACACGGAGCAGAGAATTTGGCAATCAACTTCCTGCCATTCCCTGGTCTCCCTGTATCTCTTTGTTTCTTTGCTTCTCAGCTAAGAATATTAGAACCCGACACTCAGGGTGTGATCTCTCTACTAGTACCATCATACACTTCACCTGGGAGCTCATGAGAAAAGCAGAGTTTTGGTCTCCACTCCAGATCTATTGAGCCCAAATCTGAATTTTAACAAGAACCCAGATGATTTGTATGTACATAAACCCTACAGTAGAACATTCATGCTAAAGTATGAAGATGCCCAGGGACTTTCCATCCCCGATCAATTTGCCTGATTGGGACCCAAGACTCTGGTGATTTGGGGTTTTTGTCATGTGACATGGGCTATTGAGGAGATCGGCCATAACCTATTCTGAATGTTGATGAAGACAGAGCTTCTGGACAGAATGGCACTAAGAATCTTTCTTCTCAGCATGATCATAGGAGAAGAAGAGAACCAGGAGGAACTGGGAGACAGCTGGGGAAGGTAAGGTCAGAGCTCCTGAAAATTAAGAGTGTTCTTCTCTGAGTTGGTTTTGGATTGGGACACTCCCAGGGGGTCCCTGAACTCTCCCAAGGCTCAACACTCTTCCAGGTACATGCTCCTGCCTCATCCAGCATGGTTATTTATCACAAGACCCTGAGGCTACAGCTTCATGGGTGATGGGCCCCAGTGGCCATAGGTAAGCCCACAAAAAGGATTTCTGCAGCTCATGTCTCATACACTGCTTGATGGACAAGCCAACTATGATCTACACAGCCTTCGTGGACTAGAGAGGGGGATCCCGTGAACATCAGAACCTAAAACAATGGGAAAAGAGCAGCCTCAAAAGTTCTAACAACTTCAGAAGCACACCAAGCAACTGCAGGCACTGGCTCTGTCCTGCTGCCTACCTTTGTCAGGGTTATTCAGCTGGAAGATGTCCGGGTGCTCGGGGTCGTCAGGCAGCTGCACCATCCAGCCCACAATGGAAACCTTTTTGCCAGGTGTGGATTTATACTGGAGGAGAGCAACAACACAGCCAGAAGCCTGGGTCCAGCCCTCCCCTCCACAAGGGAAGCTTCCTTGGACAGGGCAAGGCTCCTCCTTCTCCTGCTGCCCCCCACAGTGCCCCCACTAGAGGAAGTCCCAGCATGAGAGTCCCTTCACAGGACTTACGTGTTTTCTGTCTGTGCCCCGTAAGGACTTGGCTCCGTAGTACAGGAGGGTGGATCCTGAGAGTATGACCCAGTACCTGGTCCACGAGGACAGCTACAGAGGAAGGGGAGGCCAAGTGATGCCACCCAGGGTGGTGGGATAGAGGCCTCTGGCTGCCTGATCCAGGCCCTGCCACCCCCATAAATGCCAGCGCGGGCCCCATCTCTTTCCTGGCCCACCACCATCCCCTGTCAAGGTCAACTATATCTAGAACCAAGAGGAGGGGAGATGTCTTTCTTCTGCTCCTTTACTCAGGGAGTTTTCCCTTTTTCCGCCTTGTATATAAAGGAGTACTGGGACATAATTCCTACGAGTCCAGCTTGCTACATGCTCACCATTTGACAGCACTCTGCCACGCATGTGACTTTCTCGCTGAGTCCTCTAGGAGTAGGCACAATTTTGTCCCAACTCACAGATGTGGAAACTGGGGACCTTGCCCAATCAGTGGCAAAGCAGGTCTGGAACCCTGGCTGGCCAGTCTCTGGACCCAGCCCCTTCACTGCTGCCCTGCTGCCTCTGGGTAGATGTGGGCCTGGACTTACTGCGGGCTTCCGTCCTTCCTTGAGCAGGGTTTTCCTTCTCAGAGGCCCCTCCATGGTGGGCACGGCTGCTGAGCTCCCCAGAGTACAGATGCACGGGCCAGTGGGGCTAAGGGGAGACCTCTAGTCAGGCGTCATCCTGGAGGAGCCGAGGTCAGGAACACTCTGGTGCCCCCTGCCGAGGCTGTGCCTCCATCCGCTTACATCATACTCTTTGATGTAAGACCTGAGGGCTCACTTGTGCTGGGGCAAGCCCAGAGTGGAGAGCCAAGCACAGAAGAGCAGAAAGGGCTGCCACAGCTAAGAACGTGCACCTCTTGTCCCTCTAGACTTGGTGACTCAGGCCCCTATCAGCACCCCAAACCCATTCCGAGGGATTCCTCTGCTGAGGCTCCTGCTAGGTTGCTCCCTAAGACTGGCCCTGTGCACTTCCTCCACACCTGAGGAACCTGGGGTCTGTGCCGCCCCAGCTCTGGTGGCCCCTCCTTCTGGCATTGGCAGGAGCCATGGAGAAGCAGCTGAGGAAGGGAGGAGGTGGGGGTGAAGCACAAGTAGGAACAGGAGCCTACATGCCACGCCACCATTCTCTGCACCTTATCCAGGTTCTTCTCTCACCCTTTCACTTGGGGATTCAGGCACCATCTACAGGTGAAGACGTCGCCTCTGAACACCAGATCTGTTCACGTCTGGTTCATGGACATCCATAGGTGCCTCACCAACCTGCACCTTCTCCCCAGGACTGCTCTTCCTTCCATCCTGATGAAGGCAACATCACCTACCAGCAGCCTAAGTCAGAAACCTGGGGGTTTTCTTCTCTCTCTGATGACCCTGCAATCTAATTCACCCCAAGGATGCACTGACCCAAGGTCCTAATATGCCTGACTGTCCATCTCAGTCACCCCACAATGCCACCTTAGGCCACTTGGCCTTCCTTTGAACCACTGCCTGATGCTCTCCCCTGTCCTTCCTGGGTCACACCTGGCCAGCGCCATGCCACCCTCCTTCCCCTTCCCTCTTCCTACACACAGCAAACTCTTTCCATGGCTCCCCATCGCTTTTAAGGTCCAGGTCACCATCCTTCCCCTACCGGGCTTGTCTCTAGCTCAACTTGTGCTTCCCTCTCTCCTTCCTCACAACACTGCCTTTCCTCCACTCCTCCATCACCCGGCTCTTCCTGCCTCACTGCCGCACACTGTCTCTTTGGTTGGAACCCTCTCATTACACCTACTCGCCCCCTTCCACTAGTCGACTAATTCCTATCATTCTTCTAGTCTCTTCTTCAGGGAGGCTTTCCAGATCTCCTCTCTTCTCTCCCCAAGTGCCCCATGCCACCTCTCTGGAACAATCCGTGCACCTGGCAGCAACCTCATGGAGACAAAGGCTGTGACTGTCTGATACTCTAGCACCATGTCTGGCATCCCCCAAGCACCCTAAAGCTGTGTTTGAACAAATGAACCAATAAATACCTGTAGACGCAGCTCCGAGTTCTAGGAGAATTCCGAACAGGAACCCGCCAGTTGGGTCCCAGTGTGGCATAGAGGCGTCCCCTGCTTCAGAGAAGACAGGTTGAATTTTAGCAATAGCCTGGAAAGACCAGAAACTTCTGAAGAAGCAAGAGCCTCTCAGTTCACATGGCCATTAGCTTGGAAAGCCTCGCAGAGCAAGCTCCCTCCCCAGCTATAAGCACATCTGGAGTTGCCAGGTCAGTGAACACAACGCCCCATCCAGGAAAGTCCCCAACTTTTAATTGAATTTTCACACATTTTCCAGTGTCAAGGGCATGACACCCACTTACCCCCAGGAGGGGCTGAGATGTTTAACAGAAAACAATGAACAGCCCATATTGTCTACCATGATTCCACATTAAAAGCACACACAGGCAGAACCTCTGGGCAACCTTGCATGTCAGGCCTGGGGACATTTACCAGGACAGAACAGAATTCTTCTGCTTGCTACTTCCTCTCCACTAGACAGTCTCCTTTGTGGCTCCAGCCAGTTCCCTGAGAACTTGCCCTGTGACCTGCTACAGCACCCAAGATTCTGTACTCTAGGATCTCTCTGTGGCTTGGTCATGCGGCTTCCCTATCTCCTGGACTCCCCAACAGCGAGCATCTCCAGGTAAATGTGCAACTCCCTGCTCAACCTCTTTATGGGAAGGCACCATCTCTCTCTCTTCTCTCTTTATCCTTTCCTGTCTTAGAAGACTCACTTGATGTGGACACAGGAAGCATGGCCTATCTCTCAACTGCAGCTTTTCTTGCCCATTGACCAGACAATGATGGGACACAGGTTATAAAGTCAGATAAGGTCCAGGCTTCTTTTCCAAATATTTCCTCTCTTCTCCATGCTGAGTCCTAGGCTGTTGCATGTTGCCCTATGACGCCAGCACCTGCAAGTGGTGTGGGGATGTCCTCACTCGTTGCAGTGGGTACATCACACCAGTGTTGAGCCCAGAGGCCTCCATCCTCCACCCAAGGAGCTGTTCTTGAGGACCATCTTGGGTCCCCTGTGGGACCCAAGTTGAAGGCTGGTAGAAGTCTGATGTTCATCAAGGATGGCTACTCCAGGCCCCTGCACCTCCTGCCCTTCCTCTTTGGGTGATGGTGTGTCACAGCATGTGCCCAGTCTCCCAGTCCTCTATGTAACAGGTCTCATCATGGGCACAGGTTGACCCTACCCAAGCTGTGGCATAGACAAGGGAGGCCCTAGTATGTACAACTCCCAGGCCAAATGGCCTCTTTCCTCTTTTCCATTCAGAAAGAGGGGTGGAATGCAGCAAGTGAATGCGACCCCATATGGATAACTATGAATCTGCTCTCATTTATAAACAAGTCACAAGGTCACAAATGTCGGTTTTTTTGTTGTTACTGGTCTTATTTGTCAAGCCCCTCCCACTGAGTGCACCAGCATAACAGGTCACATCCTGTGCAGTTGCTCAGGGGAACTGGCCCAGCTGCCTCCAGGGTTGCTCTCTTTCCCAGCCATTACTGGGGATGTATTATGAGCAGGGTCTGACAATGGACCTTTCCACGGTGACATCCTCTGCAGCTCTGTTGGCTACCTAGGGGATGTCTCTACCTCATCTGATCAAGATTCCTGCTCTGAGCTGCCACCTGTTTGGAGTTGGAGATGGTGCCTCCCTTCCCAGAGCTAGATTCTCTGGTCCCTTCTCAATTTTTCTTCTCATGAATCTTTATTCCTTGTTGCCTCAGGAAAATGTGTGATGATAACGGACTGTGCAATTACCAGTAGGTCCTCAGATGGGGCACAGTGGCCAGTGCTACTACCTTCTTTCCATCATTCCCTCCCTTTGTGTGAGACCATCCATGATCATTTATTTAACAGTTTGGCCGAACTGACATTTGTCAATGGAGAGCTTGAAACCAGCATCTTCCAATCAGTTCAGCCTTGTAAGTAGCCTTTCCTCATATTCTTCCTAAAGGAGTGAGGAGCTCAAAAATGCAGTGGTCTGGTGGGAAAGTACAGGACACTGGGGGTCACATGGGTGCTTACCAATAGACCAAGGAGTCAGCAGGTAGTGAGTACTCATATGTACCAGGCCATTGTACTCACACTCTCTCTGAAGCTTTAATCACCATTATCCTCCCCATAATGAGGAAACTGAGGCTCAACGATGTGAAGCTTCTTGGCCAAGGCATGAGCCTTGTAAGCCAGGACTTGAACCCAGGTCATCTGACTCTACAGCCCAAGCTTCTCACCACACTGTGAGATTCAGCCTTTCAGAGTAGAGGGAAGAGCAGAGGTGTGGGGTCTACCATAGAGACTGGGTCCACTGTGGGAGCACCTTCCTGGCATTCTACTCTCAGAGGCATCTCTACTTGTGGGTATTTGCCTGCAGATCACACTGACTGTGAGACTGAATGACCACAGTATTCTTAGATCCAAGGATCTCCTAGGTGGGAACCCCTCCCAGGTGCCCTGGTCCTTAGCTTCCCCGATAGAGTATTCTTCTGGTGGTTTTGGCTGCTTGGCACTTAAGAGTAGGTATCAATTGCCTACTGTGTGCCACCTAAGTGCTTTCATACATGAATCTGCTCAACTCGTGAGAGGGGTACATCCTGTTTTAGATGAGGAAATTGAGGCTCAGGGAGGTGAAGCCACTTGTCCCACTCTGCTGGACTGTCAGTATAGATGGAGATGCCAGTGCTCAAAAAAGCGGGCTCACTTTCCTATGTGGACCAAAGGCCTGTACCAATCTAGTTGCTCCAGGCTGTGGAAGTCAGAGCCTGCTCTCCCTAGAGCTGGGGGAGCAACCCGCAAGCCTTGAAGGGAAGTGTAAAAGTGACATTTCCCTGGGCCAGCCTTTTAGGAGAATAGAGTCAGTGTTGTGGCAACCAGCTTTCCCTCCCATTTAAGTCCCCGAAGAGCCAGAGCAAGGCTGCCTGGCAGGCTAGCATCAGCACAGAAGAGTCATCTTTAGCCACCAGAGCCAGGCAATCTGAAAGTGTCTGGAGTGTCCCTGTCTTGAAATGCAAAATGAACAGGTAGTGGTATCTGCTGAACCCCCAGTTCTGGGATTCTTCTGAGTGACATGGAGGCTCCCATCCAGATCCACAGACACCTTTTGTAGCATTATTCTGAGAAGATGTGGATGAACACAATGTGTCCCAGGGAGGTCATTTTTCCCCTCTCAGGGATCTTGGGCAGAGCTGGGAGAAAGAAGGTTGCTGCAGGCAAATGAGGCCTGCCCAGACCAGCAGCTCACAGAAACTGGTCTGAAGAAGATGTAAAATACCTTGGTCCCAGAGTGTGCAAGGTGATGATGAGGAGGAAGTTGATGGAATGATGATGATGGGGGATGATGAGAGGATGGGATTGTGGTGATGCTGATGATAATAAAGGGGAGGTGATTAGCTGATGGGTGCCAGGTAATGTGCTAAGTAGGATTAACTATCTCACTTACTCATACTATGCTGTAAGATAGGCACTATGATCATCCCCACATTACAGATGAAGAATCTGAGGCTTGGATAGGTGGAGTCACTTGCCCAAGGTCGCAACACTAGAATGAGGAAAAGTGGGTGGTACTGTTGAGGTGGAAGCAGCCAGGGTACTGCTTGGACTGACAGCATCATGAGCATTCAGACTAGCCAAGTGAGTCTGAAAGGCCGTCTTCCCCCCTATCCTTTTCTAGGTATTTATTAGGTTGCAGGTAGGTACCTTGGGGGTTAAATTTACAAAGCCCTGAGTCCCTGCTGCTGGTCTAGAAGATTGGGAACATAGAGAAGTCTTGGATAATAACTACGCTGAGGCCTCAGTAATCTTGGTCATAGTAGAAGTAGGCTCCCTTCCCCTCACATTCTTCTGTCTTAAGTTCACAGAGCCCCTGGTAGGCATGCATCTATGGAAGGGTCCAAGCACAGCCTGAATAGGAAGTCAGTCCCATTAGGCCATGGCTTGTCCTGGATGCTTCCTGATGATTCACCCTCATCTATAGCCAGGAAACTGCCAGTCTGAATTTGGCTAGGCCTTTGGACATCTCTTCTAGTAACACTTTTTAAAGGACCTTTGCTCTCTGTGAGCCAACCACCCTTCTCTGGGCAATGTTTCTGATTCACTGAAAATTCCTATGAACCACATTTGTATTTCAAGTCTCATCCTTTTGATAGCTGACTGGACAGGACAGAGAGAAAGAGAGAGAGAAGAAAAAGCAGATATGTAGAGAGAAGGATAGACCAACAGAAGGAGAGTCCTGCCCACTTTCCAGGTGTCGACTTTGAAGGAGTTGAAGATACTGGACAGAGAAGCCATGGATGGAGATTTCTCAGCTACTCATGAAGCAGCAGCAGTGAGCTGGCTGGACCCAGCCTTGTCTGCCAGGGCCCGAGGACAGGGTCAAGCAAAAGGCCCTGGCACCTAGAAGTTGGGGACCTTTGTCCACTCTTCTCTCTCAGGGGAGTCTGCTGAGTTGAGCCTCACTTGCTAGACTTTAGTGCTTAGAGCTAAGAAAGCAAGAGATTGCATCTTTGAGGGAAACTGAAATCAGAAGCTTGGTAAATTGCCTAACTGGACTGCCATGCAAAGGCATTTGGTGAAGGGAACTCTGGTGAGCCCTTGCAGGGGGCGGCGGTGGGGGGGGGTTGCTGGGACCTGAGGTAGCTGTGGGCTGAGTCATGTACCAGGACAGGATAGGTAGTCCAGAGCTTGGTGTCTCTGAGTCTCCTGCAGGGGACATGGGCCAAAGGTCCAGAGCAGATGAATCCAGGTATCAGGCTGAAGAAATCAGACTTAGGGGAGAGTGGGGCTAGAACGTGAGCCCACTATCATGGAGTCCTGGGCCTCAGCCACAAGTGGTTCTCTATGAGGGGTCATCCTGAGAATGGCGGCCACTTGTACGGTTTGCTGCAGTCCAGGGAACCCCTCCCCGACCTGCAGGATTGTTTCCAGAGCTTGGTTCACATCTCCCAAAATACTGAAGAATCTGGGGCTTGAGAGGCATCCTTGTGACCTGGAAAACCTGGGGCATCTACCAGAGTTCAATGATCTTCTCAAGGAAGGAAACGAGTGCCTTTAAAGACTCTGTTTT